AAGCAGCCTCCATCCCCCTGGGTTTTAGGAGCACACAGAGCAATTGCAAAACCCCACATTTCTTTAGAAAGCCAGGCTGAAAAATACCAGTGAGTCTCCAGCGTGTCGCTCTCTCTGGGATCACAAGACCCATCTTTTTCATTAGCTGCTCCACGCCGCAGACAGTATTCCTGTCAACAGCATCTCACTAGCTCCTAATCGCTCCCCCTAGGGAAATGCTAACAACAGCTTTACCTTCGTTTTCGGTCCCACCAGCACAGAACAGCCCTTTTGGTGCACAGACTCCTTCCTTGCAAACTCAGCCCAGTTGCCCCCTGGGCCGCCGCTTTGCTTTATTTCTACATCCAGCCTGTTGTCCTCACGATTTCCCCCTATCTTCACTGGCCTTTGCATTGCCCAGGCCAGCCACAATCCGTCTTTTCCTCTCCAAGATTGTGGGATATTGTCCCCGTGCCAGAAGTGCTGCTATGGTTTACCGCAACCCCGCGTCCCGGCTGCTGGCTGCTTGCGACCGACCTCCTGGAGCGCAGCTTGGGGAGTATTTAATGCTCAAGGTCAGGGTTGAATAATTGGAGCTCACATGGGTTTGTGGATGATAATTCGTGCTTAGCACCCCGAGAAAAAGCTGGAGAAAATGAGTTTATTATACCAGCATCAACCCGCAGGGCTGGCTGCAGAGAGACAGCAGTTATCCACGCTTTTTGCTAGTGCAGCTGAGTTATGGATGAATAAACGCCGGGGATGAGCCCTCGAGGGTGGGAGCCGCAGGATGTCCTGCTGCTGCAGCAGCCAGCAAGCCCCAGACACGGCAGGGTTTGGGGCAGTGGGAGAGCAGAGAGCGGAAAGCTGATGGGGTAAGAGGCTGCCGGCAGCTTGTGCAACTGCCCAGGGACCGGTGAGGAAGAGAGAGAGATTCCCCATCCTTTTTCAGCATTTTCTTAGCTGTGAGAAGGGCTTCTGAGTCACCCTGACATACCTGGATGAGAAGTGTTCCACCAGGGTAGGAGGGATTTGCAGGGACGTACCCTTTGGGATAGAGCTTAACCAGGGATGTTGCATCTTGTCACCCTGCCACCAGCTCTCGTCCCACAAACAACGTTAGAAACGACAAAGCTGGTGAGGGACAATTCATCAGGCTGATGTGGGTGCCGTATCGTAAGAGGGAGCTGTAGCTTTCATGATCTCACCATGACGTGGAGAGCCTCAGATATAGAGGAGAGACCAATCTCCACTACCATTAGATGTCTGCATGGAGCTGGTCCCCCCAAGGACCTCTTGGAGTCCATGGGGAGAAGAGGCACTTGTTGGCACAGCTGGTGTGACTTGGTTTATGCAGAGGCTTCAGGGTAAAATGAAGCATCCTGAAAGTGGGTTTGTTTTTTTTTTTTCATCTCTGTCACCTACAAAGGAGCTCAGGCCACTCGGGTGGGGATGTCCACATTTGGGTAGATGAATCCCATATAGGAAAGGGCTGTTTTCCCAGTATTTTATACCAGAGGCTCTGGCAGAAGTTGACTGAGCATCGTAGAGAATTTGCTTTTCAAAATTCCCCCTGCCTCTCCCAACCCCACTCAGCACCAGGGCATTTTGATGCTCCTAAACTGCCTATGAAGCATAGAAAAGAAGCGAAGTGAGGACACGGGCTCCTTTTATCATGCTTTCCTTTTGATTCAGTTGCTGAGCTGAGACTAGATTGTGTGTTTTGACCCCACTACGGCTTTCCTCAAACCATTCCCCAAGCCAATTTAATACTTTAAACCGGCAAAGTTGTATTTTCTGATAACTGAAACATTTAAATACTACTTTACTGGCAGCGTAATTCTGTGCTAACAAAAAAGAAAACCCAGAAAAAAAGTGAATAAAAGCTGTAGGAAGTAAAAAAACCAAATAAAGGTTCAAACTGACTTCCTGGTTCTTTTCCATTTTCACTTTTATTTCCACTGCCACCCTTTCAAATATGCTCTGTGGGACTTCATGCAACATGTGTGACAGTTAGGAGGCAGCACGGGCATGCATTGAGAGAGGTGGCAAAATGGGATGGCCACCACCTGCCCCCACGTCTTGGTGGTGCAACAGGGATGCGGCAAAGAAGGGCCAAATCTGGATCTGGCTGAGGGTTCCCAGTGCCCTTTGGACCCTGGAGCCTCAGCCTCAGCCCAGCTGTGCTTCCAAATACGTGACTTTCCCCCCTTCTCCCAAACCTCTAAAAAGCAAAGCACAGCTCCTGCTCTTGCCATGTCCTCACTTGGAAGAAAAAAACGATGATGGGCATCAGCTCTCTGCGTCCTCAGTGCTGGTTTAAAGGAAAGCAGGTTTCCTCAGCCCAATTTTTTACACGCAGCACGTGCCAGCAGCCGGGCAGAGCGCGTTTGCGCGCCAAGGTCACCTCGAATCACATCCGCCGCCTGTTTTTATTTCTCCACCTGCTCTGCCTGTGCAGCTGCCTGAGCAGCGTCGCCTCCGAGCAGGGCCAGCGCTGAACTGAGGAGCCAACACGCCGCATGGCTCGTCACCGCCGGCAGTGTGTCTGTCCCCTCGCACACGGGGATGTGCGATAAGGTTATCGCTGCCGGGGCACGCGGGGAGCGCCCGGTCCTGCCCAAGGGCCAGCTGGTCGAACGTGCCGTCTGCCGCCGTTGCATTCGCAGCTCCCGAAGAAGGAGCCTCTTCGCTCAGGGTTTTAGGTTCAGCGGGTTTGAGTTGGGGATCGGCACCGGCGCTGCTTGTCCCGGTGAACACAGACGGTTCCGTTTTGCAGGGTTCGTTTTGGGTCAGCCGAGCCCCCTCCCTCGCAGAGCTGCACACGTGCTGGTGTTGGCAGCAGCAAGGGGCAGAATGGCCTGAAACCGACTTGCGGCAACTGGAGAAAAGCAATCACAAATGACAGGCGTGACTCAGGGCCATTTCTTGAACTGTGGGATGAATTCCAGCTTAACGAGCTGCAGCTAAACCCGGGGCTACCCAGGCCCTTCAGAGTCCGCTTCCCATAGTGTTATAAGTTAGTCTCACAAAGTGAGGCGAGGAGACGGAGCCAATTAAATTTGAAGGATTTATTAGCAAGCGGCAGCAAGCAAAACAGCGCTGGGCGGCCCGGGAGTCTCACTCCGCCGACGGCGCGCACCTAGGTTACAAAAGTCTTTGGTTTTATACTCTTCTACTTCTGGTGTAGGCGTTTCTCTTAGTGGTGTACTCTGCGTCTGCGCGGTTTGTTGCTAGGGGGTCGTCCTTTTTCTTCCTTTGCTTTTTGGTGGTCGCAGGGCTGAAGGCTCCATGTCTTCCTGAGCCTCCCAAGTCTTATCACAATTTATGATGTTAGCAGGACTTGACTGAGCCTCCCCCTTTCCTTTCCTCCCAAGCCTTTTCACAATTTATGATGTTAGCATAACTCGACCTTGCAGCCTGGCCTTGCTTGCTTAGCAGATGTTGGCTATCTTGCCCCATCCTGCCAAGCAGCTGCCTTTCATGAAACACTGTAACAATGTGAGTTTTTAGGTTTGGTGAACAAACAATACTGAGCTTGTCACAATAGCGCTAACAAACGTTTTTAAAAAGAGACAGGAGAACAGCACTTTCAGCTCCATGCTTTTAAAGCAGGGAGTTTATTTCTGTGCAACGTCACTTTGTAGAAATTCCCACTGTCAAAATGCTACGGTTTAGTCCAGAACTGACCGTTTTCCGAGGAGCGTTAAAAGAGGATGGGGGCACCCGATGGGTCCTACAGAAACTGAAGTAACGGAGCATTAAAATAGAGTGGGAAACAGGAACTTTTGGATCAGCAGCATTTTCCAGTGCGCTAGCCAAACCACCACTGGGGGAGAATCGTTATGTACCCTCTCTGTCCGCCTTTTCCAGGGAATTAAAGGCTCAGCGGAGGGGAGGGAGGAGGGGGAATGACTGATGAAGGGGACAGGAACGCTGCGAGCAGCCGGGACAGCGGGGCAGAGGTAGCCCGGGCGGCCCCCCAGGACTCGCACAACCAAACCGCAGGAGGTTAGATTATTTTAGGCCGTTTCCTTCGCTTCCTCCATGGCCGGGGCCACCGTCCCCTTGCCTGGCCCGGGGAACCCGGGTGCCACCGGGCTGCTGCCGCCCCTCCGTGCTGGGGGTGCCCCGTAACGGCTTC